ATCTGCCTCATTAACGGCGATTTTTGTCTTAGAAGTCTCCCTTTGAGTTTCTACACAGACATGACTGCTTACTCTGTTATGAATGCCCTCTGCTCTAGTCCTTTGGTTAGCCCATCACATTGTCACTGTGGCATCTGTATGCACATTTTCTGCAGTGTTAACGTCATCTTCATTGTCCAATTGTGGCATCATGTTGGTGCTCAAAATGTTTCAGGTTTTGGAACATTTTGAATTTCAGACTTTTAGAGTAGGGATGCTCAGGCTCTACTACTTCTTATTTCAGAGAAAAATATAATATCCAAATAACTAATAAAAACTTGGTTGGAGAATGAAGACTTCTAAAAATAACTGTTTAATCTGCTTCTGATAAATAATCCTCTTTGCTGTACGGCAAAGGGGAGACCACTGCTGTTACTGTTTGTGTCATCACGTCCTGATCAGACAAACACTGACTTTTTTAAAAAAGAAAACAAGTACATCGTATATGTAAATGTAGACTGTAATAATATATCCTTGAGAAATAAATAAATATTACATGGACTCCATTTTTTCTGACAGTCAATTATGCACAAAAAGATTTTTAAAGCACTGATTTTTGCATTCTTAAATGACAAATGAAGTCTTCTTCAAATAACATTTTTAATGATTTAGAGAAACATTTGCACCTACACTAGCATGGTGTTGATTCTCAATTTTTAATTTTTTTTAAAAATCTCCTTTCCCTGGCATTTTTATCCTTTCCCTTGATTTTTTTTTTTTTTTTTTTTTTTTTTTTTTTTAGACAGAGTTTCACTTTTGTTGCCAGGCTGGAGTGCAATGGTGGGATCTCAGCTCACTGCACCCTCCGCCTCCCAGGTTCAAGCGATTCTCCCACTTCAGCCTCCCATGTAGCTGGGATTATAGGTGTGCACCATCACACCTGGCTAATTTTTTTTTTTTAGTAGAGATGGTGTTTCACCATGTTGGTCAGACTGGTCTCGAACTCCTGACCTCAAGTGATCCACCTGCCTCAGCCTCCCAATGTGCTGGGGTTACAGGCATGAGCCACCGCGCCCAGCCTATCCTTTCCCTTTTTCTGTTTTGTTATGGATGATGAATGTCTTAAAACTACTGAACTCCTTATACTTTTATATGTTTACTGAGAACTTCCTTGTGGGATGGTTCTGAATGATTTCTCTAGAACCTCCATTTGAACATCTTCCTTTCCTCTGCTCATGGTACCAGTCTGGGGCTATCAAAATCATATATGCTGATAAATGCTACACTATGACTAGTGGAGTCAGTGCTAAAAAGCAGCTTCTACATATGGCACTTCCAAGTTGTGTTATTGCTGGCTTTTCCAATGCTTTCCCTACTAGGGCATCTACTGCATGTCACTGCTAAAATGCAAACCATATCTTTAATGAAAGTCTATTTTATTGAATACGTAAGTGACTATGAAATTTTAAATGAAAATTGATGGCAATTTAATTTCATAATAAACCTATATCTATGTATCTCACCAAAGAGAGTCTAAATCTTTAGTGAGGCCACAAATTCATTTTTATGAAAATTCTTCACACGAGTTTAGAAAGCTTCCAACTAAGAAAAGGACAAGTCAAATCTTAGTGTCCTGGGTGGCCGAGCATTTCACAGCTGCCAGAGAACCATGAGGGCCTTCCTGAGACTGACTCACGGGAGTTATCTGTAATGATCTGTGTCTCCTAATGGGTCATATTTTTATTGGAGATTATTTACTATGCCTGGAATCCTAATGCTTGGTGTCTCTAATGAGAAAAATAATACAAAAAAAAAAAGGTCAATATTCAGCCAACACAAATTTCTATGATCTACAAAAGAATGTTTCCAGATCCTGGGCTTGATCATTTTTGTTTTCGATGTCATAGATTTGCTGAACAAAGCTTCCAAATCCCCCTTTTCCTCTCTGCTTGCTACTACCCCGACCCAGAAAACACACACACACCCCTTCCCAACCAGGTCCCATGTGACTGTTAACACCCACATCAGCTCTAGGCCGCCATGCTTTCCTGAGGGACGTTGCCTCCACTGAGGGCTCCTTTATTCTCAGTATACCTTACATTCCCAGCCACAGTACTGAACTTCTCAATGCTTGCAATGTTCCCTTGGAGTATATCAGTTGAGCAGGAGGAAAAAAAATATCTGGAAGTTTATTATTTTTCCACCAATATATTTGACACCACCTTTGGAAAGGGAACAAAAGGCATACTGTCAAGCGGATAGACCTGGACAAAATGTTACTGTTTGTTCCTCACGAGCACAGAGGTATATTTAAGCAAAGAAAGGCATTCCATGGCTCTCCTGGGACTTCCTTCCTAACGCTGAATTATACCAACATGTTCACACCACTGGGGCTCAGGCTGCTGGAATTTAAAACGCAGACCTCTATCTGCCAGTGCTTCAATCCCACGGCTACAAACATTCATATTAGGATTGAACCTGGCTTTCAAACATCATGAGATAAATGGGAGTTTATTGGGGGAAAAGGTGTGCCCCCATGAAACTACAGTAGGAGATGTGGAAATAGGACTGTCCCTGTTCAGCAGACTCTACACTAATACAATAAAGCCTAAAGTCACCAGAAGTCACCTGGCCTTGGGTTATGTTTCCAATTCAGGCTCACTGACATTCATGAAACCTTTGGCAACACAGGCCAAGTTTCGTGCAAGGCTGGGTAGAATACTTCTTTCATGTGGAAGCCGGGTGAAACTCGGTGGCTTTGGCTACGTTTCACCTGAAGTTTCACATTCAAACAGTCCAGAGTTTCAACGTAAAATTAAGGGGTAAAGAGAAACAGAAAGAAAAAACAAAACAAAACAGGGGAAAAATGGCTTGCCTGGGAATGGAATGATCACCTACCATTCTCCAAAAAGATCTCATCCTGGTGCCCTTTAATTTTACTGCTGGAGTATCACCTCTAGCAATATATTTGCCCCCAGCGACCAAGGCTTCCCAGTACTAAGGGGGAGTGAGTATTCTAGCTAGACCACCCCCCCGCCCCCTACAAAGTCCAGGCTCAAAATAACGGGAGGATTTAAAATGTCAACCATATACATAAATGCAATGATTAACATGCTTCTTATAATGTAGATTTGAAGGGGAAAAGTGGCAATGAAATGCTCAGGTTTGCAAAATTAAAAGATTAGACTGAACATCTCTAGGTTTTTCTACTATGAATCCAAATTTTGAGATTCTATTGCATCTGCTCCTAATCCAGGGGGATCTCTGCCGTAGCTTTCCCCACAGTTCCGCCACCCTGGAGACTTGTCCTGTGGCCACTTGCGTCTGTCCTTCTTAGCAAGGTGCAGAGGACAGGGGGCAGACTGCGTCAGCGCTGAGGAGCTAGCGTCCTTGATTGGGACTTAAACAGCCTCCTGACAGGATTAGGCTCATTCTATTCCTAACCTTCAGCAGAATACACAACACACAGGGACCATTTGCCAGGGAATGTCAAACTCTGCATTTGGCTGAGGACTGTGAAAATACCTTGTGCTTGCGGTGGGAAAGAAAAGGGGAACAAATGTCACACATGCTTGTGCCTTCTTTACAATGAAGAGAATATTCCAAAGTTGACTGAATGGCTAGTAAGTGCAACATTTTGCCCATTTTAGGAAATACATTTTTAAGAAATCCCTTATCCCTTACACAGCAGAAGTTTCACTCGTAAAACAGACTCTGGCTACTGAGGGTTTGTGTTTGTTTTTGGTTTTTTTTCCAGTTTTCTTTTGATTTTGGTTTTCTTTTTCTTTGTTTGTTATTTCTTCCTCTGTTTTTGTTACTCAGAAGATCATTATGTGGTTAGAATGCATGCTTTCCTTTGACATGTGGTCTGCGATACCAATAAACTTTTCTGAAAAAAAAGTATCTCTGACCTCTGAAGATTTCAGCATCCATGTTTTAAAAAAGCACCCGTTGGGCCCGAAGGCACACGGAGATTCTGAGGCAGCAGGGTAGCCAGCGTGGGGTTCTGTGCACTGTCATTTGCTGCTGGCTCTTACACATCTGCCAGACAGGGGCCATGAACTGTCATGAAGTCTGTGTTGGGGAACTTTACCAGAGAATACCTTTCTTTCAAAGGGGGGTCCCTCTAGAAGTAAAACCGAAGACAGATCGGTGAGGAAAACTAAAGCTCCAATAAATTATTGAAAGGAAATGCTATCAAAGCATTAAACCAAAAGGAAAAAAAAGGAGACATTTTACTGAACAGAGTAAATAGCCACAATCAAAGTAAATGCTGTGTTTGAAGTTAAAGTCCATAGATCAAAGTACTTTGCAAAATGTCAAGTGCAAGCATAACGAGGGGGAGAGGGAGCCACCGAAACTGACCCAAAGTATCACATTGTCACGTTAGAGAAACCTGCCAGCAAGTGTACTTAGCAAAAAATATTCAGCTTAGTAAGGAATCCTCAAAACCGTCCCCTAAAGTGTGCTAGGAACATACGAAACAACAATAACAAGAACAAAACCCTCAAAACCCTCAAATCAACCACTCTGATTCCACACGAGCAATGAACGAAACAGTGATAAAAGAAGAACATTATACAATACAGCTCACTCATTGCCCTTAAAGAATAATTCCTTATATATATTCTCTTTACTCAGGTGGATGGCATTTTTTCCTCTCTCTCTTTTTTTTTAATGCCCCTGGAAAGTTAAAAATAAAGCAGTCTAAACAACAAAAGTATGATGTCTGAAAGATCCTCTCATTGCTCTGGCAATCAGGCTTAATTAGACCTCTGATCCGTGGTTCAGTCAGAGTCAAGTCTGTACTGCAGGTCACTATAACGAGAGCTTTAAGCAAAGCTGAAAATGTGCAGCCACAAACACGCCCAGATGCTCCTGCTGTATTCTGGAACACAACGTTCACCTGGGAACTGTTCACAACTCCCCTGATTATTTCCACTGTAAGTAAGTTATTTTAAAGACATTAGTCACGAACATATCAGAAAACAATTAAATAATTCCGGAATGAAAAGTCTTACCTACAGCCAGCTGAGTTCAACAGTTGCTCTATGCAGAGGAAGTAGGAGTCAGTGGCCTTTTACATGTAGAGATTGTTTATTTAGCCCTTTTTAAAAGGTCTTGAACTCCAGAGGTTTAAGATTAAGTCCAATCCAAGTGTCTGAAGGAAAAAAAGGCAAGAGAGAGGCAAATAAGAGAGGGAAAGAATCCCAGCTGCTGGGTGGTGCTACTGTTCGGAGAGCATTTGAGCTATTTTCAGCATTAACAGCAGCCGGGGTTGTCTGCAAAGGGATGAAAATGCCTTGCCCAGATCGCCACCCCCCACTCCAGGGGGGAAAAAACACCAACCAGGAAACCCACAACAACTTGGTTCATTGTGCAAATATTCATTTAAATGTTAAGGAAAACTGCCAGCACCATTGAAAACAAAACAAACCCAAAGTTGACTGGAATCTTAAAGAAACACAGTGCTCCTCAAGTTTTCAATATGAATTACCTGATTCATTGAAAATGAGATGTCCTGTTTATGCTTTATTGAGAAGGAAGGCTTTTCTTCTGCTATTTCCTAAGGGGTCTTAAGAAATACTTGAGTGCTCTCTGGTCAGCAGTATCTGTTGCCAGTCTATTCTTCTTAAGAATGAAGACAAATCATTTCTTAAAAGAGCCCGCACCTAAATTTCCAGTTTCATCAACTATGCTATTTTTGAAAGCTACTGGGTTAAGCGTTGACACCTCTTATCTATTGGCAGAGACTGGGGACCATTCAGTGACATGAGGCAGACAAACAGTGACCCCTGCCTCCGCCTCCACAGGCCAATGAAGAAATCATTCTGGTTGGGTCACTGACAATGACTGACAAACTTTGAGCCTTCATTTTGTTTCTAGAATTAAAAATTAAGAAGTTGTATTCATTCGTTCATTCATTCAGCAAATGTTTATTTGGTGAGCACTTCAGAGCTTACTGTAAGCCAAGCACTCTGGGAACACAGTGGCGGGTAGAATGAAGTGTCCTCGCCTTCAGGGGTTTAGAGCGCACAGATGCAGCGAGAATAAATAAAAACAGAATGTTTAAGTATTTTCCAGACTGTTTCACATGATGAGACTATTCACATCATGGCAGCTGAAGACTGAGATCTCTTTCTACTATGGATGAAGGAAGATACTAGGCATCGTCAGATCAACTTCAGGCCTGCACTGAGTCATTGTGCCTTTACAACACCACCGGGGAGGAAAATTAGTTGCTTTCTACCAAGGAAGCAGTTAAGTATTTTTATGAACGCTTTCATTCCACATAGACGAAATCCCTGTGTTTTTTCAACCCCCTACTCCGCGTAACAAAAAGAATGCTTCGGTAGTCAGAAAGTACTACTGAGAGAGGCTTTCCATTGGGGGATGAAAAGAGAGTCTTCAACCTGAATCCACTATAAAAAACTGCCGGTGGCTCATGGCCTGTAATCCCAGCACTTTGGGAGGCCGAGGCGGGTGGATCACGAGGTCAGGAGATCGAGACCATCCTGGTTAACATGGTGAAACCCCATCTCTAATAGAAATGCAAAAAATTAGCTGGGCGTTGTGGCACACTCCTGTAGTTCCAGCTACTCGGGAGGCTGAGGCAGGAGAATCGCTTGAAGCTGGGAGGTGGAGGTTGCAGTGAGCCGAGATCGCACCACTGCACTCCAGCCTGGGCTGGAGACCCCATCTCAAAAAAAAAAAAAAGCCCTGATACATTTTATAATTAATGTGAGGGTTGGTTGCTAGATGCTCATATCAAATTCAATTCTTTCTTTGCAATTAAAGACACTGAAACAGATTATGGAAAATACTGAGGATTATGCCATGTAAAAACAAAAAAGGGTTACATGACTACTCTTTCAAGTACTATTTAAAACCAGTGAAATCCTTTGGCTCAATAGACTTTATATTAAAATTATATTTCAAATTTTAAAATTCTAAATTAACTTTGAAATCTCTAATTTGAATTTTATAATAAGATCAACTTTGTTTTAAAAATGTATACCAGGCTTTAAAAAAAATCACCCTAGAATAATGCGTTTTTCTGTTCATTTATTTTTAAATGGTCACATTTTACTATGTCTTAAATACCTGCCAATCTAACATGGGATATTTGGCCTCAATGTGGAATGGTAATTCTACTGGTAATAATTGGAAGCCTAGCCTCAGATAGACACATTATTTTTAATTGCTTTTTTCTTTTTCCTCCTTATAATAGTTTATACCACAAAGGAAAATGCATTTAAATATTGGCCTTCCTTGAGAAGCTGTGGCGTTAAGGAAACAAAGATGAGCATAACCCGCCCTCATAGAAAATGGGGATAATAATGAGCTGTCATAGGGCTCACAGGATAATGCACATAAAATGCTTAACTGGGTAATGTCTGACACACAGCAAGCATCCGATGGAAGTCAGTACCATCATCTCTGCGGTGAGGGTAAAGCTTTGCTAGCCAATATGGTGGCTACATGTGGCTACTGAGCTCCTAAAACGTGGCTAGTCTCAACTGAGATGTCATATAAGTATAAAATGCATGCTAGATTTTGAGGTCTTTATACAAAGAAAAGGTGAATGATGAGAAATTACTCAATGGGTATGACGTTCATTATTCAGGTGATGGATACATTCATTAAATCTATGACTTTACCACTATGCGGTACATTCATGTAACAGAATTCTCCTTGTACCCCACAAACTCGTACAAATAAAAAGATTAAATTAAATGTTTTCTCTTCCTAAAACATGTAAACCATCATATCATTTTTATACTGACTGCATGTTGAAAAAAGAATGTAAATTATGACACTAATTTGTATATTACATGTTGAAAGGACAGTATTTTGGACACAGTGTGTTAAAGAGGATATTTTGCTGAAATTAATTTCACGCGTTTCTTTTTTACTTTTTCAAATCTGACTGCTAGCTCATTTAAAATTACCTATGTGACTTGCGTTCTGTTTCTACGGGGCAGTGCCATGTAGGCCAATGGTTCTGGAAAGGTAGTGAGCATCACTGACCCGGAAGCTTCGTAAAAACAGATTGCTGGGTCCACCCCCGAGTGTCTGATTCAGTCCGTCTGGCAGGGGGTTGAAATTTTGCATCCCTAACGAGTTCCCAGGTGATTCTTGACCTCACTTTGAGAACCGCTGGTCTTGGGCCTTGCTTCTTATAAAAGCAGTCCGTGGACCAACATTAACGTCATCACTTAGGATCTTGTTAGAAACACAAAACCTCAGGCCCCACCCAGACCTACTGAGCCAGCATGCGCATTTTCACGACATCCCCGGGCTGTGTGGAACATGTTGAAACTTGAGAGAAACTGATGTAAAGTAGTGTCTGTCATCCCTGGGTGAATATAAGGTAAACTTTTACAAACACCAGTAGCCTGGCCCCGCCCCCAGAAAGTCAGGTTTAATGACTCTGGATGTGACTCAAGCATCTGCATACGTGAACAGCTGATTCCAGGTTAAAGCCAGCACTGGGAGTCCCATCACACTGGCTGTGGAAAGGCCAGGATTGAGAAACCAGACACTCCTGCTAGTGCGGGGGCAGATGCTTGGGGACTGCCAGGTGCTGGAAAGACAGGTCCTGTGCTAGGGTGAAGAGAGTCAAACCCGCACAGCCAGGGCAATGAGTGGGTGCTGCGGCCAGCGGAGGGGAGCCACGCAGGGGGCCTCCATGCCCCTGTAGATGTGACAGAAGTCCCAGCTGCTCCAGGTGTGGCCTTTCAAGGAAGGCTGGGTAAAGCAGAGCACAGCCTCGGTCTTGGAGAAGCTAGAACCCTAGGGTAAGTTATCTGGGCAGAGATGCAGGCTCCGAGGAAAGAGATAAGGACCTTGCTAAAAGAACCCCTGCATACGTCAAAGTGGGCCCAGGAGCCCTGCGAACTGAGTTTCTTAAACGCAACATATCCACAGGTTTGGTTTCAGAGGCTGGAACAGGAATAATCTTTTGACAGAGATGAGGAGGGAAACAAAAGGATGAAAGTGTTGAAAGTCAGATTCATTGAATATATTTTTTCTCTCCCTCCCTAACAAAAACCGAGAGGGTTTGTACATCATTAAGGCGTAGTAGACACAGATCAAACCATATTAGAGGGTATTTCCATCCCAAAAGAGGATCTTGTTAACCCAAATAACTCTACAATTGTTAGAACTGGTGAGAAAGACCCATATTTTGGAGTAGAGAGGCCTTCTGTTACTCACTACACCTCTGTTCTGGCCTTAAATAAATGAGCACGCCAACCTGAAGAGTGTGTCTGAATAACCTCATTCGTTTGCCAAATGACTTCTCACATTTTCAGGCGGCACCTGAGCTTTGTGTGTTTCACAGAGCTTGGTAAAAATAAAATCCTCACTATAAGAGAGAATCTGGGCTCACACTGGTAACATTTAGAACTTCCAATTCTGTATGCAGAAACCATCTGCAGCTTTGCTTCTCACTTTCTTGGTTTGTCCTTTCAGAAAACTTTCAAAAGTGCATAATACTTCCGAGTGGAGAGTCTGCAGTCAGGGTGCCCGGGTTTGAATCCTCATCCTGACACTTAGGCGTGGCTGTAGCCGTAGGTCACTTTCTTAGCCTCCCCATACCTCAGTTTCCCTCCTCTGTAATGAGACCTTTCTGTATTCGGTTGTTGTAGGGTGAAAATTGTTATTTGAAACGGCCATGGAAAAGTCTGCTGCTTTGTAAATTTTATATGAATGTTGGTTAAATAATCAAAATATATTTGAAAAACTGTGCAGATTTCCATATGTGGCTAAATTTAGTAATTTTTTAAAGATACGGTGGTGATTTCCAACGACTTTCATGGGCATGATTTTTTGAACACATGTATTTAGAAGGTTTCTTTGAGTGTTGTTTTAAATTTTTTTCCCAAGAGAGCACAGAATTCTCAATTGATTCCTCATCGCTTCCTATGATTTGAGAGGATCCCAGGAGGAAGGAAGTAAATGTAGTTTTCCCATGAGTATTGTTTTCTAGAGAACATTCTTTACCCCTGCAGTCCTTTGAAAAGTGAGTTGTGCTATAGATGTTTAGAGGCCTTCCTGCCCCTGTCATTCTAGTAGCATTGTCTAATATCCCAGGAGAACAATGTGTCATTCTCTTAGTCAAATATTTCAGTGCTTAGCGAGAGGCAGCAAGACCAT